GGATTCAGTGGCAGAGCATCTGCCTAGTTCATTGGATTTCCAGACTCCCGCGGTTGTTATTTTAAAGCATCAAGGTCAGCATTTATTACTTATTTATTAAATTTGTATGCTGCCCACCTCCCCCAAGGGATGACTCATAGTTAAAACCAAAGACCCAAGAATCATTTAAAAATGATACCATATAAATAGTTAATTAATCAATTAAAATCAGACTATACAAACAACCCTGTACATAAATACTAAAAAAAGTAAAAACATGTTGATAAAGGGGTGTGATCACAACAAATAAATCGCAACGCTGTTCTAATTTTGTCCATGTGTGTTTTTATTCTTTTTTTCTTCCTTTCTTTCTAAGAAAATACACCTAGGGAAAATGCCCAGCGCTTTCTCTTTCCGTAAAATGCGTGCGTTGCGTGTGAGAAAAATACAGAAAAGCGCGATCAAGAGGTCTCCCTTTGCTCCGGGTGACGTGAAGGCTCAGGGCTTGTTCCACAGGCGGAGGATTCCATTCCAAGGTTCGCTCAGCACAGCGGCCACGAGGACGAAAAAAACCAGCACCAGGCCTTTGGCAAGGGTGTGCGAATACGGTTCTCCTGAAAAGGAGTTTGAAGCAAAGATTAAGGAACAGTACAACGCGATGAACCTTGGAAGAGCCTCCCCTGGATTTGGCACCGAAGTGGATAAGGCCGCAATGCAGACAAGCTTCTGCTAGAATGAGGGTATCTCAGTATATAAATCATCACGGCCAGAGATAAGTCCCTCCGGGGTAAAGGCATGTTATTCCAAAGCTGGGATCCCTCAATAAAGCTCCATTTCTTGCCACAGTCTAAACAACAAGTGTGATGCTCAGGCTATGATTACCAACAGAGCAGATAAAAAAGGAAATTCCTCTAATGAATACATCTCCCTACTTAGATCCCTGCCCACCCAAGTGATTTGGTGATCAACTGGAAATCAAGCACCCGAAATGCACATCAGGTGAACGACACTTTATTTACCGGTGTAGTAGCGTGTCATGGGATAAAAAAGTTGAGGCCAGCAAACATCATTTCTCCTGCAGTCATATTCCGTGTAGTTAATTTGAAATCTGCAAAAAGTTTAAACAGAATTTTAAGGACAGAGTTGCTGTGGCACAACTGCAAAGAAAAATGGCTCATCGCTTAAAGTTAAAGACACAAAGTTTCTCTTATACAGCATTCATATTATTTTTCCCTCTTGCCCAGTGTTTCTCAACCTTGGCAACTTTAAGATGGGTGGACTTTAACTCCCAGAATTCCTCAGCCAGTTGTGCTTTGGATCCCAGCTTTGGAATAACATGCCTTTACCCTGGAAGAAGGACTTGTCTCTGGCTGTGATGATTAAAGATGGGCGGACTTCAACTCCCAGAATTCCTCAGCCAGTTGTGCTTTGGATCCCAGCTTTGGAATAACATGCCTTTACCCTGGAAGAAGGACTTGTCTCTGGCTGTGATGATTAAAGATGGGCGGACTTCAACTCCCAGAATTCCTCAGCCAGTTGTGCTTTGGATCCCAGCTTTGGGATAACATGCCTTTACCCTGGAAGAAGGACTTGTCTCTGGCTGTGAT